TTTAAATCAGTTTATGAGCATTTAAATCAATTTAGGTGTCTATGATCAGTTCAATATTAACCAACCGATGTTGGTATAATTTTAGTATATATTTACATGAGCAATATATTGTATGAGTTTTATGTCTCAAAGGTCAATTCATTCATCTGCTTTTAGAATCCGTGACAATGCGTGTAAATAACCATGTACTCAGGCGTTTGGCATCATCGGCCCAATACAGTTATGCTAATAATTTACGTATGTCAATGGCCGTAATAGTGACAAAACTAACAGATGTAAAGATTTGAGATGTTGGAACAAGTTTATTGTTATCTTAAACAAACGATAGAAGAAAAATTTACATTTATAAAGAGTAAAAAAGAAAAAGGAAAAGAAAGAAAGCCTAAGGCTACAAAGACAGTGGAATCTGTCAAGTACCTCTTTATATATATAAAACGTGAAAAATAAGGAAGTGATGACGTCAATCAGGTAAATTCCAGTGGTCAAATTACCTGGCGACATGCAGTGAATGACTCATTTCGAACGTGAACTACTAATCTTAATGACACTGTATCAGGCATACATTGTGTAAAAGTTTATGTGACAGGTAAATGTTTTAACGAATAACATTAGTATTATCCGAGCGATGTTGGTATAGATTTCATGATATATTTATATGAAGATTATCTCGTGCGAGTTTCAGATTATGATATCTATCCATGTAAAAAAATATTGCTTTGCTGAGAGTCAGTTTTTTATTACATAAAATGCAACATAAATATTTATTTATTAATAAATCCGAAAGATAAGCCAGAGAAATATATTTAATTAACGCAATATCCCATATATCAGAATAAATTATTACTTTACTAGTTTGAATCTGTTAAAAATTCACGGGTTTTCTGTTTAATATTCTGATGAATGTTAATTCTTAAATTAACGATTAAGTTAATGATGGAGAGTTCGACGACGATAAAATATCTGTAGAAATTCCCCTAACACATCGTTAAATATTTGAGCTCAACAACTTTAACAAAATAATGCAATGACAATTGTAAATATGCTCGTTATTTTAAGAAGTGGATACAAACGAAAAGATTTGAAATTGACAATTTTTTTTGCATTTCACTGAAACAGCCGATCATTGATGAAAATCAGAAACAGCGTAGGACCCAGGATAGAGCCTTGGGGGGGGGACACCCGCGTTCGTGTGAAAGGATCTGTAAGTGAGCCCGTTCAAAACGACCTGCATTTCACGATTTGATAGGAACCATTGGATTAAATCAAACAGTCGTCTTTTAATGTTGTAGCACTAGAGCATACGTAGAAGACTAGCGTGCCAAACCCCGTCATATATCTTCGAGATATTAAGAGCCACAACTCGAGCTTCACCGTTATTATCAAGAGCTTGATATACATATTCAGTGATGGCCGTTAACACATCAGCGATGGACCTGGCTAAACGGAAGCCATATTGTTTGTCAGAGGGTAGATTGTGAGAAGTAAGATTCTTAAGTACTTTAGCATTGATTAAAGCCTCGAATACTTTGTCGAAAAGCGGCAGGATAATAGGGTGATGGTTAGAGGACAGAGAAGGTTTTCCAGGGTTCTTAAAACAGGAATTACAGGGGAGGATTTAAAAAAAACAACTGGAAAGCAGGAAGCAGCAAGGCAATACTTATAGAGTTTAAAGAGAACTGGAGCCAGCTCGTAAGCATATCTCTTTAGGGCGACAGCTGGGATCCCGTCACTTCCGTCTGCCTTATAGAAGTTTAATTTAGAAATGGTATCTGAGACCAGTTTATGTGCATATCGACCAGTAGAGCCTTTGTTCTGGAGTGGGGGTGAATCAGGTGTGGGTACTCCAGATGGGTCAATGTTAAACGGGAAGAGAATTTCAGAGCTAAGCATTCAACCATATTTGCTGTAGATGCCAGGACTTCGAACTGATTGAAAAGAGGAGGGATTGAAGATTTGCTTTTGTTCATCACAGACTTGCAGAGTTGCCAATAAACTCTAGAACCGAACTTGCAAGACGCAATACGTTTTGTTTCATTCTATCAACATACAGTAACTTCACTTCTTTAACGACACGTTTGCATTCATTACGAGCACAGACAAAAAGATGTCTATTGCAATCAGACGTGTCGCTCTGGTACAGACAGAAGAAATGATTTCTGTGCCGTGCCAGAAAGTTTTTCTCGTCAGTTCATCTTGCACATTTTAAATTCTACAATTCGTCCGTGCATTGAATACTCTTGCCATGTCTGGTCTGGTGTTCCTGCTGTTCATCTCGAGGTTCTTGAAAAAAAAATCCAAAGAAGGATCTGCAATATAATCGATTCTGATTGGCATCTCAACTTCAGCTACTTTCTCACAGATGTGATGTCGTTTCTCTCTGTCTTTTCTACAAATATTTTCATAGCAGTTGCCCCAATTATAGGAATTATAAGCGTGTGACTAGATTGGCATCTAGGTTCAACCGGTTTACTGTAGCAATAGTTAAATATAACCACCACTTCTACTCCAGCAGTTTTTTTCTCGCACATCCCGCCTGTGGAACTACTTCCCGCTTACTTGCTTCTCTTACTTGCTTCTCTGATAACTACAATCTTAAAAAAAATAAATGAAACATCAATCGCCATCTTCTGTTGTCTTGAAACCTGTTCATCTTTTATCCTTTCCTCACAATCATACCCAGTTTTTTTTTTCTCTCATTTTCACTCTCTACAGACCACTGCGTACTAGTGGCATCCCCACCTTACTTGGATGAAATGATTAAAAAATGTCTGCCGTATTTAATGAAAGATGTTTAAAGGAAAGGTTTCTGGACAAATATATATATATATATATATATATATATATATATATATATATATATATATATAGTACAGGGAAATCCGTTCGTATATATTCCAAGTGGGTACTAGTAATATAAAATATTAAAACTGATCCACAAAAAGAGCTCAATGCATTTATTATAAGAAAGCATATAAATAGTATTACACAACAAAATCCAAAATTACCTCATATGCGGGGGGGGGAGATCTATTTCAAACGACAAAACTACGTCAGTTTTATTCAACCCCGGTGTATAAACTAGAAATTTATAACTATATATATATATATATATATATATATATATATATATATGTAATAAAATCCCAAATCACCTAATATGGGGAATAAGCTTATTTCAACAGAGAAAAAAACATAAAATTCGTTAGACTTATTCAACCCCGGTGTATAGACTGACTTCTTGTCGGAATTAGAAATTTAACCATATAAGGTGATTATGGATTTTATTGTGTATTAATTTCTGCTCTGTAATAATAAATACATTGAGCTCTTTTTGTGGATGAGTTTTAATTTCTTATATTACTAGGATCCACCTGGGATACCAACGGATTTATTATTATTATATATATATATATATATATATATATATATATATATATATATATATATATATATATATAATATGATGGACAACTATCGGCTGATTCAGTAAAATCTGACATTGCCAAATGAATTATTGTTAATATTTTTATTAAAATTATAATCTGAAATTCACATGGTATAGTTTATAAGTATATTTTGTGCGTTTTGCCAAATTTAATTTGTTAATAGCAATTTTATTGCGAAAACATTGACTATCGTAATAAAATCTGAGATGTGTAGACTCATTTCTAGGCATACCTGTTCTTGTTTTCGTGTAAAATTGTCATGTAGGAAAGTAATATAAAAAAAAGCGATGCAAAGGTGAATCCAAATAGGTGAGTATTAAATGATGCGGGATAATCCCTAAGTCAGGAGAAAAATATACCCTTGTAGATCGAATTCAAAATGTTCGGCTCGAAATTTTGAGGTTTCCCAGTACGACAACAGACACTTAAAAAATGCTGGCGAATCCAACGGCCGAAACGTTGCAAGTGTAACAACCAAAATGAATTTACTATTCCGAAAAGGATGTTATATAATAATAATGTTTTTCATTTATTTACTCCCCCCGCTCTCTCTCTCTCTCTCTCTCTCTCTCTCTCTCTCTCTCAAGCACACACAAAGTCTGGTTTCTCTTTATCCGCGGTCTTCTATTTCGCCATTCCTATTACCCGCTGTTAAACTCTGAAATAACCTTTTTTTTTATTTAATAATGATACCAAAGCAAATTAATAATGATACTGACAATTCAGATATGACAAAACATGAAAAATGCTTCCTTTACGTGAACACTTACGTTTGACAGAAAAAATTGTTTGTCGAGATTTTTTTTTATTAATATTCGCCCAAGAGCCACTCAAGATAGAGAATTACTGTATGGAGTTATATTAGCGTAGGAAAGTAGCAGTGTTAGGAGTATAGAGATGAAATAGACTTTAGAAGTACCAGGAACCCAATCGTAAACAAGAAACAAGGATAAACCTCTACTCCTGTTTAAAAGACGGTGGAGGAGTGTGAACCGGACGATTGGATGTTACCTGGACCGACAAGCATCGGATGAAGGTCGAGGTGCACAATGACCGAAACGTTATGATAACAACAAGTAGCAGCACAATATCCTGCGTGTAAAAGATGCAAATAAGCATGCGTGTGCCTCCGCAATATGAAGCCTTCTTGCACGGGGCTCGTTCACCACACTGAAAATTTTCACAGCACACGTCATCGTCTAAATTAATTGAGTGATTGACTGATTGTTTTTTATGATTTATCAACCTTTTGCATGTTATTTAAAGCCAGTTTGTAAGAATTTTTTGGCGATAATAATAATTTACTGATACAAATCATACTAATTAACCCGTAGCTAGTGGGGGCTGAAAAAGGCGGTTCATATCTTTCCCAATGGTATTTGTGAGTAAGTAAATATAACGAACTCGACTGGAATTCGAACTCAGCATTCTGATTTCCAATTCCAAACCGTTATCCATTATATCACCGAACACACCAGCTTACGGCACCCGAGGCTGATCGTTGCTTCTTATTCTTGGTAAGAATCCGAGGAATCGATATTGCATTTCCCTTAAAAGTGGTCACTCAGCTACCTACTGACCAAGCTCGACGTTGCTTAACTTCGGTGATCGTATGAGAGCCGGTGTTTCAACGTGATATCGCCGTAAGCCTTCATCGTCTAAAGGTCAGACACAAGCGTTACACATGTAAAGGTCTTACTACGTCACAAGATGCTCAAAGACTTTGAAGATTTTATCGGAATACGTTGTATCATCCATACAAGGCAATAAAGCCACTAGCACGAGGACAGCAGATAACGATTGACATTGCATTTAAATCACGAAAAGTTCTCAACCAAAATAAAACAAAAAGATCTAATGAATTTTACTTTTTGGAAAATGAATCCGACAGAGAAAATGCATGTCTTCCTTACAGAACATGAATCCTTTAAATTGATAAAAGGTTATAATTCCTGTTTTGTATAAACTTACAGTGTTGTGGGAAACTACCCCCACGATAGGCAATTTTATGTCCAATTTTCTTATTTTTTTTTTTTTAATTGTTATTATATCATTAAGAAACAAGGGGTTACTGAGCGTGAAAGAATAAGAAAAAAAGCGTAACATTGTTAAGGAGCGAGAAAAGAAGTGTATTCAAGAAGACAGCAGATAGCGATTGAAATTGCATTTGTATATTTGATAATCAATGTTGGCTGGAAAACATGGAGCTGAAAGGGAGTTCCACAAGCGAGAAATACAAAAGAAGAAACTATTAACATAGAATTTACGGCTACATTTATCCAGCTCAATTGTAAATTGATGAGATTTCGGTGCCAGTCTAGTACTGCGCTTAGTTTGGTTTGATTTGTTTCAACACCTCAATGGTTTATTTAATGCCGACGAGATTTTTATTGATGGTAATATTTTTTCAAAAATGTATTGCTGGTAATATATTATTTTTAAATGTATTACTGGTAATAATTTTCCTTCTTCACAAATTCATTGCTGGTAATAACCTTTTACAAAAATGTATTGCTGGTATTAAAACCTATTTTTACACTTTCATAGTGTTTTGACTCCAGTTTGGGGGTCAACTATTTACCTATAGCTGGGACCCTAACAGATGCTACGACTCCGAGCCAGGGTGGATCTGGGAACACCAGCAATTAAGAGGTGGTTCCACGCTCCTCAAAACCTCCTGATCAGAGGCCTTGATGTTGAATGTAGTTTATCGTCTTACCCAGAACGCGGATGTAGTTTATCGTCTTACCCAGGACGCGGATGTAGATTATCGTCTTACCCAGGACGCGGATGTAGTTTATCATTTTGCCCGGGACGGAGTGCTGCGCTTAAATTAAAAAAAAATCTCTAGGTACCATAGCGAACGTAATGACATTCACATATACCCAGGTCAAAATTAACTTGTCCTTCAAATCGTTTGTTTTCCTTCTGAATGTTAACTTTGCATGATCAATTTCGTTCGTAAAAATGTTAACAAACTCTGCAACTTGTTTGTCAAAGAGAAAAGAAATTAATACTGGCTTCTCGACTTTTAAGGGAAATGCAATATCATTATACAATACTAGATTCCTTGGATTCTTACCGAGAATGAGAGGCAACGATTAGCGTTGGGTGTAAATATGAAACCGAATCTCATCTCCGTGGCCATTCCTTCAGCGTATTCGGCATATTTGAACTCATTGACAAACATAAAAGATACCTAACACCTCACATCGACAATATAACATCATTTACTCCACGTCTGGTTAAATTTAAAATATTGGAAATTTACTTAAATTGTTGGTGAAGATTAAAAGCCTTGTTTTTACTGAACATTAGAATAACTCACCAAAATTTTCAAACAATTTGACATCATTATACGAGTATTCTTTCGGAATAGCATCCACAACGCCATTATTTCTGTTATAACGTTTCGATCTCTGTGGCCTTCTTCAGATATTTCTTGAATTCGATAAACTTTCAGGAACAGAAAATATAATTTCACTTAGGAGATGAAGATCTAGATATTTATTAAACATTGCTTATTTGGGGCAGAATGTCGCAAACATGGAGAATCCACTGAGGATCATACTCACTCCACAGTAGTAATTATCTGCTAGTTAAAACCGTTAACCATTACACTACGAATATCTATCTAAGTAAAAGCCAGTGTTAGTTACTTTGTTATGCTTAAAACGTGTTAAGCTATTTTTAACTTACTTATTTGGAATGAAATTTACAAGTGCCTTGTGGGACAATTTAACTAAGGATGAACAAAAATAGATAAAACCTGATATTACCCACAATAGTAAAAAATATATTACGAGTATAAAAACAGCGTCATATGACTATCTCGATTATTTCATATATTATATAAACAACATATTATATAAGCGCCATATTATTAACAATCAGCATAAAAACCGCGTCATATGACGCATGACACTTTAGTGGTATATGATATTTGAAATAGAATTTTCTACTTTCATTATCTCATATGAATTATTTTGTTTCCGACTCGGCAGAACCATTTTAGATATTTTGTCATTCTTTTCCAATTGCTAAAAATGTTTGAATTCATCGTTATCTCTAAGCATAATTATGTTACATGGCCTCTTTTTCGTTACCATTCAAGCAAATAATTTAAGAGTTAATAAGTTTGAAACTTAATAAGCTTAGCTTAGATGTGGTACAAGGCCAGTAGTATGGAGCACCTAGTGAAGATCAAATTCAATATTCAGTCGTAATTGATCTAGTGAAACAAGCTTGTTAACAATTATACATTGTCGAAGTGCCCAAAGAATTTCTAGAATAAACCGATTGCCAAATTTCTAGCGTGTTACCAGAAGTGTCCACTGCATGAAAAGATGGGAAATTCGACCACAGCTATGTGAAGATGTATAAATTTTTTTCTTTTTTTTTTTTCAATAAACTTCACCCGGTACAAGGCGCAAGAGCCACTAGTGCTAGAGGGTTACAAAGTAAGATACACAGTTTATGGTGTTATGAGGGAAGATAACGGTTAACTTGAAAAGCCTGTAGTGGTCGGGGAAACATTCTCTTGGAAGTCGGTTCTACAAAGCAGTGGTTCGTAGGGAAAAGCTGCTCGAGCGCTATAGTGAACCGACCGTCTTTCCAGCATCTTTAGTGATGCATCGGATGTATGAGTTCCACTTGAGGTCTGGGTTGAGCATAAATCGCAATAGACGCTCAAGGCAAGGGGCCTCCCCGAGAGGACGCCTGTTCATCGCGATAGGCGAAAATTCAGGAACCGCTCGATGATGATGAAATGTTACTAGTTTGGTTTTGGGGACATTGCATGTGACAAGCCAAGTGAGCTGTTAGGGCTAGATCAGACATCAGATCAGCTGCTACAATCTGATCCTCTAAAGTTTTCAAGTTGCACCCATATTATATTGCAACATCAGCATACATATACTATAATGATCACTGACAAAATTGACCAATTTTTTTTTTATTACTTGTGGGAACGACAATGCCTCTTGAAACCAGCAAGTGACTTGCAATGTTTATTGCAGATATGGTAAACTATTTTTTTTTTGTGCAAGGTCTGGCCTCTTTTATAAAGTCTGTTCAGATTGCTCTTGGGTTTTCATGTGACGGGTGAGACAGGAGCTGACCCACTTCCAGCATTTTAAGTTATTTTAAGTTATTTCTAGCCTAAAACTGATTGTAATCTGTCAAAGATCTACTAATATGACTCTTCTTGTGGCTAACGAGGCCTGCGTTGGAAAGACATACTGTGCCACAATCATCAATTCTAAATTGATGGAATTAAAAAACTGGTATCCTAGTATAATATATAACTGCGCCAACATTGCAATGACCAAATAATTTAAATTGCGTAACGGTCAGTCTATACTCTATACCTGAAGATTGCGTTGTGCATGAAACTCTGAATCATGCTATCGGTGAAGGATAAATGTATATTAATAAGACACACACACACACACACACACACATATATATATATATATATATATATATATATATATATATATATATATATATGCGTGTGTTATGTGTGTGTGTGTGTGTGTGTGTGTGTGTAAGAACTGGCGCATACAGTGTGCCACAAGGTATACAGACGACACTTCTCAGGTTTTGAATTTCGGAGTTGTCCTAATATTTAACTGATAGCTAGGAGGAGGAGACGAAGACATCTCTTTCCCAAGGGTATTTGCACACAACTGATTGTAATGAACTTGAATGGAATTCGAATTCAACAATCCAATTTGTCATTACACCACCCACATACCTATATTCACCTGTATCAGATTTTTCAAGCCTTCTTTTCTCATTATGGACCCTAGAAATTTTAACTGCTCCTAAAACTTCATTGTTGCTGACATGTTCGGTCCATGGTATTCTCAGCCTAATCTCTTACATCAAGCATCTTCTTCATCAATGATGAGATTATCAAGTATTCACTGCCATGAAACAGGATTGATATTACGTAATAGATCTGTAATCTACTCAGTCGTAATTGATTATGGTTTATGGTGCAGGAAATTTACATTACACGTGTCGAAGTATATTGTTAATCATTACACCACATTGATCACACGCATCTCTCTCTGTCTCTCTCTCTCTCTATATATATATATATATAAAGCCGACTATATATATATATATATATATATATATATATATATATATGCATAGCATATACATATATATATATGTACTGTATATATATATATATTTTTTTTTTTAAAGACATTTTTATGTTTATACATTCTTTTTATAGATACAAATATTTAAGTAAATGCTCTGTTTATAATAAACAGTATTAAACAACATTTACCGGCCTGAATGTCCGAAAATTTTCACAGAAAGTATTCGTCCTCCGACAGGATTGGAACCTGTATCCTCGTCGGAACCGTCATTTAGTTTGACGTGCCTTTACCGATTTGGCCACAGAGGCGCGTTCAGTTAGCAAGGTCGAATTTACTGTATTTGAACTTCAATCTTCTATGAATCTCTCACGTACATTCATATCTGCTCACGGCATGTCAAATATATATATTAAGCTATGCTATATTTCTGTGGTGAAAGTTTTCAATATCCAGGATAGAGCGTATGTAAATATAAGCAGTGTGGACATAAGGTTCACCAGTTTGTTTCATACTCAAGCGTAATCTTCA